CTAAATCCAGACTGATTATCGGGTAAAAGACCTCTTCTAAAGAGAAGATAAGAGTTTACGTGTTAATTCAAATCTAAATGATTTCACTACCTGACATTTGAGAGAATAGACATATGATCAAGACCATAGTGAATACATATTGCAAATTTTTGAACAATTATGTAGATTGCATTGTTTTTTGGAATGTCCTAAACTCATACATTTCGAACAAAGTAGAACATTAGCTGGCACCAAATTTTCATTTTAGGCATAAGCAATATGATCGATAATAATTTTTTTACTATTTAATAATTCGTCACGTGCAATCGATGATGTAAGTTCAAGTTTAACAAATTTTATATTTCCATCAAGAACAGGAGTAAAAATTAATGAGGAAATAAATGAGTAAATAACCGCTATAAAATACATGGAATTTTTTCAAACTTCCATCCCTATTTTATTCAAGCCATCTTGAAGGTGTGGGTGTATGTGTGTGTTTTGTTCTCATTCATTACCGACACTGATACCTACACTCAAGTCCTCATCCGCAGCTACTCCCATACTTACACAGTCGAGGGTGAAGTGAGTCGAGACGACGAACATTACTTGTAAATAAAATGTGCACAGCGTGAAGTTCGTCACATCCCATCCTATGTGGAGCTACCTTATACCTAGTAATTGTGAAAACTATTCAACAAGGGTGTGGGTGTGGATGGATGTTCATTAGTTATTCATACTCACACCCACTCACACTCTAAAAAAAAAGTGATATTTTTCATTCTTAATCAATTTTTGATGTTTTCATTTTCTATTGATATTCTTTCTTCGTAAAATTGAATAAAAACAAAATTTGTTTTTCTAAAATAACAAATTCTATCATTTAGTTATTTTCTTTGTATTTATTCAGCGAGAATTTTTTTGAATTTATATATTAGCTCAAATATCCATTTGTATGTATTGATCGAACTGTGCCCTTAAATCACGACCTTACATTTTCCTTTCTCTATCATAAATTTGTAAAACCAGTAATTAAATGTCATGTAAGCATATCTAAAAGGTCTTAGGTCTGGTTTTGTTTGACAATTGTTAATGGTTTATATGATATCAAACTGTCGAAGGATGGTATGCGAGATATCAATAGATAAGCAATGGCTAGATTGTCTTCTAAGAATCTTTTAGTTCTCAATTCTATTTTTGTATCAATCGAACGCTGAGTTTTCGAATTATTCATTTCATTCGAGCAATGTTTGACCGATAGATGTGTAATTTTATCAAGATCTATATGATTGTTCAAATGATAAATCATTCTCATCGTTAGTTTTATTTTTAGAAGAAAATACTTTTTATTATCTTAATAAGATGGGATATATTTAAAAAGGTTTAGTGTGAAGTCGAAAAGAGTTTCGATTCCTCCACCTGATTCTATCTATGATCGTCTAAAATAATCAAATGATATTTGTCTGTGTTTATTAAAATAAAATTAGAAAAAAACTGCTTAACAGATTTGAATTTCTTGATCGCAAGATAAGTTATTTTCCGTGAATTTTGTTTAGTGAATGTTATTGTCATTGAAAAAATGCAAGTAATGGAGTATTTGATGAGAAATATCAATCAATTGGAAGATTTCTCTCTTTTTTTTTCTTGTTTGACATAAGCTCGCACAAGAATGGAACCACGATGACTGAGATCAGAGGGTGGTGCAGAATTTATCACTTGCATCGGAATGTCTTCACTCGGCAAGACACTATTCGAACATGACGACATTAATGTAGTCCGCGTCATTGCCAACGAATGCCGATCGGAAGGTGACAATGAATAAGAGTGAAATGGAATGTCATAGTATGAAGATCTCGTCTGTGTCCATGGATTGTCATTGATATACTGTCGTCGATATTGTCCTGAGTCTTCATCAGATATTATACTACTGTTTTTTGATAAGTGGCCAGTGCATTGCCCTCGACATCGTGTACAATAAACGTCCTTCTCTCCCGAAAATTTCTGGCGACGTTTTCTCCTAATAGAACAAAATGCGTTCATCAAACATGAATTAGAGAGTTACGGTAGTTACATACCAGAAAAGTCCTGAACACCATTTACAACAAAGACATATAGCCAATGCACTAAGGAGTATTAGTATAGGAAGACCAAGACCTAAACCCAGCCCGAGTCCAACAGAAATATTACTGTTCGACTGAGCAGTAGAAACTACTGATGTCGACGAAACAGTCGATGTCGTAGAAGTTGTTGAAGTCGTTGAAGTCGTTGATGTTGTCGATGTTGTCGATGTTACAGTAGTGATTGATGTAGTGGTTGTTGTAGTTGTAGTTGACGTTGTTGACGTTGTTGTTGTTGTACAAGGCGAAGATGACGTTATTACAGTAAATGTAACACAATACTGTGTTGATTGGACTTTGTCACTAATTAATAGAAATAGATACTTAACTAGAAAAGAAAACGTGAAGAGAAGAGATTTTACTCAGTATAGGCGATTGTGCATAGTTCTTGTGGTCCAAGTTGAGATACCTGTGGTGTCCAAGTGAAATTGACATAGAATTCCGACGCATTAGTCGGTGATGCTGTGAGATCGCCAACTTCCATACCATCAATTTGTTTTGATACGACAATATCGGTAATTTCGGTGTAGTTTGGATCACACAGATGATATGCTGATATATTAAAAGTGATTGAAACACCAACTGTTACTTCGAGACAACCCGTTAAGGGTAAAATAACAGGTGCTATTGAACAAGTTGGTGTTGGCATAACATAAATCAAAAATTGAACTGGTACCGAGCTCATAGGTGTTGTGCTTGTATTGTTGATAAAATCTTCAACCTAAAGGGGAGAAAAGAATTTTTTTGTAGGAAATTCTATGTTAACTACACGGGTGTGGGTGAAGAAGAAATCAACACCCATACCTGCACCCACCCACACCAGGCCATTTTCACGCTCTGAAAATGAATATTTTGCGCAAATAAACGCGTTTCTTGCGTTTTTTTTATTAATCAGCGTCAATAAATTACAGTCGTGGTGCCTGTTTGATCGTTTTAATGTGCTTTTCCAAAAGTTTATCTGATTGTACAGGGAGAGAAATAAGAGCGGAAGTCTGTTGTTTTTAAGCTTGGTAACTATGGTAGGATTCGCATTCAACGATATTTGATCTCGGTTACTAAGGTCTGTTATGAAAGCCTGAAGGAGGATCTGCAAAAACTTCGATTGAAACTTCAACTCATCATTTTTCATCGGAAAAAAAGAATGTAACTCTCATAGAAAGAATAGATTTGGATAAAACCTAATATTATCTTACTTGGATAGCAACAGCATACCAAGTGTCAGGTATAAGTCCTTTGAATGTTATGATGCAGTTGGACAGGATAGTGCCATTAGGCATACTGTTCGGATAGCAAATACCACCACATTCATCGATTGACTGACGTACAGGATACGTGGAAGTGGTTGGCAACGTTGCAGGAGTTTCGCTTGTTGTCACGATGACTGGACACGTAAAATATGTTTCACAGAGTAGACCAGCACACGTAGTTCCTGCGCAAGCAAGACAGTTGCATCTACATCCGATCGCACAGACACTGGAACAAAAACCAGTACATGTAATAAATGGTGCCCTTCGTTTCCTAATATGAACAACTTTCTCATCTGCAGTTGTTTTTTTATACAAATCGGTACTAGATTTGTGATATGAATTTTCGTCTTCATTTACTTGTCTTCGTCTGCGATATCCATAAGTATATACAGACCATCGACAACGCACATCATCGCCTACGTTTACATCTGATACAGGTATTTGAATCTGAGTTGTTCTATTTACAATAGCGTATTGTGGAGAGACGACATTCGCCTCGGGTGGAGTGTTTATAAAACCATCAGGTCGCAAACGGAGATCGATGAAACACAAAATTGACCAATAAAGACTACTTTGAGCAGGATTGTTTAAAGCACGCCAAGCACTTCCTTCATACGATATATAAAAATGTGCACCGGCTGTGAGTGTCCTGTTGGCTGATCGTTGACTTGTCAGCATAGTCAACGATGAACTGACTGAAACGCAGTCAGTTAAAATGTTAACTGGCTTAGTTGAATAGCCACCATCAGTCGAACAATCAACAACACATGTCACATTAGCGTTCGCATTGCTTCGACCGCTGGTCGAAATAGGCACATTGGTCGTACAAGTTATTGTAGGATAGCTCCATGAATATGATTGAATAATAGAAATTGCCACTAGGCTTGAGTTAGAATAGGGGTTTATCGGTTGCCATCTGATAGTACCACCGTTGAAGTGATTGCCGTCAATAACAATAAAATAACGTAGTAAAATTAGAAGTACGAGAACCATTCCGTTGTCGACTTTTTTAAGAAATGGAAATGTAAAAAACAGTTGTTTGACAACAACCATTCAACTAGAAGTAGGAAAGGAAGATAAGTATCCATTTTAGCAAAGATATTCTCTATATTCTAAATAGGGCGTGGGTGGGTAAGGATATGAATATGGATATGAGAGGGAACTCATACCCACCCCTCCATAGAAATATTGGAGAGAGTTCGAAGATCAGTAATTATTTCCCTAGTTTGGTATTCGAAAACTATATTGATGCTGTTTTATTTTTTATACAGATGTAGCATGTTTACTTATCCATGAGTTCTGCTGCCAATTTGTTGCGTGTCTGCTAAGATGTGAAATCGAGCTACAACAGTTGATTATGTGAGATATACAACAACTCTTCCTTGAACAATGTTTCGAATGAGAATTTCGTGTGGTTAATGGCGCAACTCTCAGAATGTATATTAGTTGAGATTGAAGTATTCACACGTACAACTAAAATTCTTAATAGTATGATAAATGGAATTACATATTCTAATACTGAAGAGTATAGATGTATGGTAAACTATGAAAGATTTCTTAACAACGAATATGTTATACATATACCTGTCATTATAGTGCTTATTATGTATGCCACTCATCATATTCTCCTCTCTACTAGAAAAAAACAATTCTTTTTTTTTGAATACACAATAAGAAATCACACAAATGATTGAGTTTACCTTGTCAATATGAATTTCGAGCAGAAAAGAAATGCAAGTTGTGTGCATGCTCGTGCGCATCGTATCATTCGAAGCCATACGAGCAATGATTAGTTCTCTGATTACTTTATTTCTAATTATACAAAAAAAAAAGAAGAAAAGAGTAGCTTACTATTCCACTCGACCATTTCGGATTAGTATTGACGCTGAAGCTCTTGACAAAGCCCTTAACGAGACTTTATTGTGTTCTCTTTACAATAGAGAAATAGCCTACTTTTGCACTTCAAGTAAAATTGAGCTACTTTATGCATAGGCGGGTCAGTGGCTTAACAATAGATGTGGCAATAATATCTTACTATGATAAAAAGAACGTATTTTTAAAGTTCTGAAAATACTACGTAACTACTACCTACATTCGTGCGACGAACGAAGCTGTCTTTTTTCTAATATAATTTGTTTGTTTGATTTTTTCTTCTTTTGGCATAAAGTAAATAAAAAACATATTAGTTAAAAAGATATTCATTTCAGAAATTATTTTTCTTTCATCTTTTTTTGCAACAAAATCTGTTACTATTTTGTCAATATTGATCCCAAAATGTTTTTCCATATTCAAAAGGGCAATGCCTGACAATCTATCTTGTCCAATACTATTTCTTAAATAAGTTTTTATTATTCGCTACTATATGTCACTGGAATAGATGATTCAAACAATGCCAGACTTCTTAGATACTTTTAATACTGTTTCAGAGTTTGATATGACTATATAAATAAATAAATATTCTGTTGAATGGTTTTGGATGTGGCTGTTAGGATCGAATGATCGCAGGGTGTGGGTTTAGCTGACAATATTATTTCCAACTCACTCTCACACTAAAATCCCATCCACACTCACCCTCAAGATTTATCATTTTCAGCACGTCGTAATATAATTATTGTTTGTATTGTGTCCTCACTCGCCTTCTTTCTTTCTACATTTAAATGTGGTATTTCTATTACGTAACTATCAACAAGAAAAAATCGTCAAAAACAATGCATGGTGTGTGCAAATACAATAAACGAAGTAAGGAAAGATAGCTGTTTTCAGATGTGAATGCACTGAATGTAACGTCGGGCTTTGTATTTCTGACAGCTTTCAGGATTATCAGATTTCAATACATTTGGATTTCTCATTTTATTTACACAGATTATCTCAACATGTTATAAATCAAATAAATAAGTACCACAACTATTTGCAGTTGATATAACAATTATAGAAATATTTCAAAATAATGAAAAAAAACACCAATTAAAGCTGTTGATTGTTTTTCTGTTGAAGAAACAGCAACTTTAGATATCTTTATATCAGAACCTTTTTTAATCATATTAAATTAATTATTGTATTTTCATGCCATTGCTCGAAAGCTTTTCTCAAATTTAAGTTCGATTCTTCCATCTCCACTGTAATTTCTTGTTTTTATAAACCATTTACCTTCGAAATGATATTGATTTGAATTCCAAGCAACTTGAATTGTAATATTATGTCCAAAATTTTCTGTAGAATTCTCAGTTTCTTCTCGATATGTCTTTATTATCGCTAACCGATTAGTATTTATCGAATAAATACCATTAACAACAAATTTTCCAATATCATCAACACCATTTCCATTTACTTCTCTTGTTTGTGAATTAAATAAAAGTGAAAATTGATAAGGTTCATAAAATCTATCATAATGATAATAACGACTCAACCAAAAACCTGATACAAATTGGCCACAATTTTCTTCTTCAATGTCATTTGTTAACATATTAATATAATCTTCATTTGATGGCATTGAAATACTATTGGACCAAAGTTGATAAAGTGCCATGTAAAATACAATAAATAAACCAATTGTCATCAAATGTTCTATCATTGTATTTGGAAGTTGATAACCATTACCCATCAAACCTATACTTCTTTCATGATAAAAATGATCTAAAATGAAGAAAATTACAAAATATATAGGAATATTACTAACTTACTTCGTCCTATTCGAGTACAACTACTATTTCTTGAACTGCTCGCATCTTGACAACCAATAACATTTATAAAAATCATAATGATTAAAAATATATGAAAGATAATATGCATTATAAGTTCCTTAAATAAAATACAATCTAAATAGTACTTTGTATTCACTTTATTATATCACATGTTGTGACGAATAAAAATAAATGATGAAATAAAGTATTCGTAACTCAAATATCAATATGTACACTTTAGAGATACACGTGCAATAGAAAAGAAAAATGACCTTGACGATACCTAGACCGCGTATGAAAATAGAACGATATAAACAGACACAAAATAGTCAAAAAATCACAAAGTCATGATCATAATTAAATATTAGATGATTTTTATTTTTTACAATATTTGAATATTAATTTAATAGATTATATATTTTTTATTTCAGATAGGGTGTGGGTACACTTCTATATTCCTTTGCATCCACACCCACACTCTATAACCGTTATTCATTGCTGTCTAATTTTATTATTGTTTCAAAAGAATTTATTTGAGGTTTAAATGGAATAAAAAGAATATAAATATCAATGCATGTCTATTTGAATGCATCAAAGTAAAATCTATTTAATATTAGAGAACTTAAAAAATGCGTGTTTTTAATAAAAACAAAGGTGAATTAAAATGAAACTGATAATAATGAACATATCGGGTGAAGTGCCTATTGTCGATTGTGAAGTAATTGAGTTCGGTTTTAATAACACATTGTAGATATACAACAGTCGAGTAACTTCTCGTCGTGCACTAAGCAGAGCACCATGAGTATAACCATAGGTATCTGTATTTGTCGCTTCACCAGCAAATAATAAACGATTGTTAATCGGTTCAGACAAACGAAAAGGATCTTCATACTTTTGATTGACTGATATATATGAATATGAACCATAGGAGAATGGATCTTCATTCCAATTACTCATGTAGATTTCAGTAGGTGGAGTAATCTTTATATTGGGAAACATTTTTTGTAAAGTATCCAGAATATCTTTTACTGTTTCGTTTTTATTCTGTTTCCATGTCAATGAAGAAACTGCTTTCCCAGCAAAAAAACATGTAATGAATGGTTTACCATTCCATTTATTTGCAGTTATCCAATATCTTAAGTTAATTGATTTTGATGCAGATTGAAAGAAATAATAATCAGTAGTATTCCACCAGACTTGATCCCATAATAGATAAATTTTTTCATAATAACCAAAACCTATTCGATCAATAGCATCTAATTTCCATTGAGGAAGTTGTGGATTAAATTCGATTTGTTTTGATTTTAGTACTCCCAATGGAACTGTTATTAGCACAAATTCTGCTTGATAAATTTGTCCATTTTTAGTTGATACTTTAACTAAATTTTTATTATAATCTATTTTTGTAACAATTTCTCCAAATTGAATATTTGTAAGATTTTTAGCTAAATAATCAGTAATTGCCATAAAATCTGTATCACAAATGACAGGCTCTTCACCATAAAAAACTGAAGAACGATCAAGATAACCTTTAGCACTAATACTTTCTAATTCTGTTCCTTCTCTGTCTGCAATCGTAAAATAGGCAAAATTATAAAGTGTAGATCGTTGCTTTTCATTGAAATGTTTTTTTTGTGCAAATAAATTTACGTAATCTGCAAAGGAAATATTTGATGATGACATTCTAGTTTCTTCACGTACAAAAAGCATATATTCATCGTACCATTTTTGAACAAGTATATTACTATAGTACAATGGATAAGTTCCCAAGAAATCATGTGGTTCTCCAAAGCATATAGAAATGTTAGCAGAGCGAGTAAGATCCCAAACTGGATTCGTTAATAAACCAGATGGAATCGAACCATATTGACCATGAATATAACGTGCACCCATATCAAGCATAAGATTGTTCTTTGAGCGTATTGACCAAACTCGACCACCAGTTCGATTTCGTGCTTCTAAAACTATAGTTTCAACTCCATTTTGTTGTAATAAACGAGCAGCCTCCAAGCCTGCAATTCCAGAGCCAATAATTAAAACTTTAGTTGTACGAACATCCGATGAACGTGAATCAAGATTGTCCACTGTCAAACGTTTTACCTAATAATAATAATAAATAGAAATAGATATCAAATGTAACCAAGAACATATATTTATTTCTAACTTCTATTATTGACTATGATTATTTCAAATGAAAAAGAGTTAACTTCTCAAAGTTTTAAACTAGAAAATCTATCAGAAATGAAGGAACTTAGCAGAGAAACGTTATTTTTTAAAATAAAGAAAAAGTATATATAAAAATCAATTTCTTGATCATTATCCTGAGATAATCAGAGAAATATCAGACGATATTTATTGATATTCAGTTATCTTCTATCAATTGTTAAATAACTAAACGCTTGTGATAATTTTTATTAGAAATGTTTATTCTTTTTTTTATCAATGACAAGTGCTTATTTCTAGTTTTTAATTACTTACGCGATAATTGTACTGTTCAATATGACCACAAACCACCGCAGATAGTAACAAATACTGCAAAATATGCATAATCTTTACAAGATTTCAATTGATCATAAATGTTGAAGAGTCCATGTCTAAAATAATATACAAGAAAGTAGTATTATTCATCGATTAAGTAAACAGAAAGAAAAGATATGAACGAATGAAACTTCTAAATCAAATTTTTTTATAGGTAAAATATGTCATCAGAAACCAATTCATTATATTATTAATCACAAAAACACGTGAATCGTTTTTTTTTCTTATCAAAAACAATCATTTTTATATAAACATATAGACAATATTTCTCGAATTTTACTCGTAGTTATCATTTTTCACAAAGGAAAACACAGTTTTTATGAAATTTAAATATTATATTCGGCACAAGGATGAAATTTAGAATTAATTAATTGATAAATAATTCCAACCACTGACAGAGCATTCGATTTTTCTTCACAAACGAAGGAAAAGAAACAAAAAAAAGTGATACATACCTATCGATAAGTGGTGATATGGTGAAGTGAATGAAGCAAAATATTTCGCTTCACTGCTTATGTAGACAAACTACGTGTTATGATACGATGATTTTTGTGTATTGCACATGGAGTGATTAGAAAGACTAGAATAAAAACAAGAATGTAATCTAGAGTTATTCTCAATAATTCAATACATTTTCTAGTTCGAATACCTTTCATTTTCATTCGTAAAAAACTCGAACTCGATTAAATAATTCTAAGATAAAAAACTATTGATGTAAAAATGTTTTGTTTACAATTCAAATACGACTAGCACTAAATCGATTTGTTTGTAATTTTAATTCTATGATAGAACTTGTCATTCTTATAAGTGATGTTTCATTAGTCTTATATTATCTTTTTTATTATTTATTTATATTTCGATTTCATCGTCTACGAAACAATACACAAAACCACATTTTATTTTCGACTATTGTCTTTTTGATTGTCGCCACTATTTAAATTAAATTCATATATTTATCTATGCATGTCATCATGTTTGACTGATAAACAAAGTTGAATAAACAAATTATGAAGATAGAAATCATTAAAAGTTATTTTTCGAAGAGATGAAACATAGAAAAAAGAAAGTGATGTTTTGATTTTTGTTGATTTTGATGCATTGAATGGATACATTTTTATCAATTATCAATATTTATAAAGATTGATTGGAATTTTTAATAATTTCTCTTGGATAAAAATCAAATAAATAAACTATATGTTCAAGTAAATAAAATCTTTATTTAATTGATGACATATATATTAATTAATCTATTTCGATCAACAAATATAATAGAACGAAATTGTATACGTATAAATTTATAGTTAAAACTGAATCTATAAAGAAATATTCGTGATTAAGATGAAATTTCTAATTGAACGTTATGTTACCATATGAACAAAGAGGGAGATAAATATACCGTTAACTGATGATAAAAAATAACAAAATGAAATAACTATGCGAAAAAAAGTTGAATATTTATAAAAATAAAATTCATCAATTTAGGAGAATAGTTTTATCATATACTGTAGAAATATTTTCGCTGTATTTCACAAGTTATAATCATTGAAGAATTGCTTTCAATATTATTTTATATTTGATAATCGAAACAGACTATTGATATTCTATTAAAAAATTTTGAGTTCTATTTACTGATGGATAAATATATAATAAACGAATAATGCATTGGTGGAAATCTTACTTTGAAAAAAGCATCATACTACTAACTACTTTATTTAGTAAGTTATTCATATATTGAGAATTCCATTCGGGTGTTAGATTAGTCAACAAGTGCAAACCAAATTTCATTTTAATAAATATTCTAATAAAATTCTTTTTTTATTAAAAATAAAATATTAAATTATTCACTTTTATTTGATGGGTATTAAAAAGAAATATGTAAAAATATTTATAAAATTCTAGCAAACAAATGTTCAATGAAAAAGAGAAAAAAGTCAGGTAAAAATAGATAGCTATTATCAATATTGATATGAATCATATTTGAAATTATCATCTTGTTTCATTATTTCTTTATGTGCTACATTACACAATATATTTTACGAGAGAAAAAAAAGTAAAAGAGTACATGAAAACTAATAAGAAAAAAGATTAAATATGTTTTAAAATAACAAAGATAACATTTATTCCCTTTTCTGAAAGAAAGGTTTAAATCATGGGCCTAAAATTGCTTAAAGTTTGTCGGTTATTCCGTCATTTTCTGTCATTCCATCATTCTGTTCATCAGCTTCAGATGCATAAATTTTGTCTGTTACTCTGTCATTCTGTCATTCCGTTCAAACCAATCAGATTGTAGCAAAGTTTTTGAGGCCTACTTTTATTGTATTTAAACTCTAAATAACCTGAGTCCAGGTTTTTTAGGTCGAGAAATCCGAATCCGAGCTCAGATTTTTAAAATTTTTTTATCCTTCAAATTAAAAATGAACCATGGTTGATTAAGATTTTACGATAAGTAGAACCTGTCCAGGTTCCCTTTGTTAATGTGTATTCAAAATCAAAATCATTTTTAATGATAATCATAGAAAATTTTCTTTCAGAGAAGGGTCAGCGAATCCATCGGATTAGCGTTACTTGTGTGATTAATAATCATAAATAATAACATTTTAACGGACAGTAGAAGATATATGTATCAGTTTTTTCACTGTTTTCTCTTTTATATTTGTCATTTTTATTTGTGGATAACAATGTCGCATAAACATCCGTATTTCTATTGAGTAATCTTTTAACGGTCGAATTTTAGAGGAATAAAGCTACGGATGCAGGCCTGCCATCTCTACCCCGTTGGAACTATTTTTATGATCCTACTGGAGATATAAACAATGATCAATATGATGAATCAGAGGTTGAAGATCTTATTCACAAACACACAATTAAAATTCATGTAAAAAGAAAACGAAATTCATACTGATCAACTGCGGCTCTATCCTCTAGCGAAATCAACAACATTATGCTGCGAAATAACGACAGTTCTTGCTTATGTTTATTCGGTCCCTTGTATAATATGTGCTGAGACAAATTCTATGTCTTATCATTGATGAGATAATCGTAAAACAGTTTTCCGTGTACTCGAGTTCGCTTTCAAGTTTTAGATTTACCGAATCCTTGTCTTTTATTTGTAATCGATTGTGTGTTGTTCTAAAAGCTGCGTCTATTCTCATCGATGTATAATATGTGCTGAGATAAATTCTATGTTTTACCGTTGATGAAATAATCTTGAAACAGTTTTCTATGTACTCGGGTTCGTTTTCAAGTTTTAGATTTGTTAAATCCTTGTTTAATATATAACAAAAACAGTAAAGATTGAAATGAAAAGAATTTATTCTGAGTTAATTGTATGTATATTGTTTATTAATATACTGAACGATCAATCGAGCGGTAAGTGTTTTTATTTATCTAAGCTTCTTTTAATTTTTAGATTATCTATAACGATAAATTAGATGGTAAGTATTTTGTTACACTAGGACGATAGATAGGAATGAGGTTGGGAAGGAATGGGAGATGGTAACAGAAAGTTGCTGTCTCTTCAGATCATACGACCAAATACGGATCGAAAAGGGTTCGTATTTTAACCGTATACTGCTGTAAAGATTTCGTTATTGCACCGATTCTGGATCGTAAATGGCTCCGTTTTGATAGACCTGGGTGCTCCCATGTGTAACGTCAAAAAGAACGCCGCGTTCGGGATCATCGACCTGGGTAAAAATTAATATGTAGCCCGACCAAACAAAAAAGAAGTAATTATTGTATAGATTTAGTTGCTTTAATATTAGCTAGTTGTCTTATTAAAGATTAGCATGCGTTTCGACCACAAAAGAAAAAACTTTTACTTTTAGCGCCGAAAAAAAAAATTTTTGTCTGGGACATAATTATAAAGTCAAAAAATTTTATTGTTTAGATATGGGTTTTTATCTATGCTTACATTGTACAAGTTATATTCTTAGTAAAAACTGAGTAGATTGGCTTGAACATATTCAAAACTTCCATTACATTCAGTGTCAACAACTAGTTGCAGATCAACATATACTAACGGATGCTTCTAACAGGATCACGATGGATGATGATGAAGTAATATCAATTTAAATGATATAGATCTTTAAATTATTTCATTTTTAATAGGAAAGAATTGAAACATCATTCAAGCTCTTAAATGAAAATGTACTTCCATCAACAGAGCAGGCATTTTATATTTCCTAATATTGATTGCGGAGTAGAAGCTAATCTATTAAAGCCAGAATTCAGCAGTAAAGGTTTCACATTATTCTTATAACTCGTCTTGTCTTGTGATAACTTTTACCTATGAAACACTTAATTTGAATGATAAACGTCTAAGATGACATTTTCTTGGATATTATTTTTGATAATACTTTTTTTCCTCGCATTTATTAAAAATTCAAGATAATAAACTATGTAGATTGAAAACTCTTATTTATCTTTTATACTAATGACCATTAGCTTATGAATACACAATCTATTTTAACAAGTAACGGTCATCCGATGATTCGCTTAGCTCTTTCTCGTAGAAATGCACTCTTCACATTTACTGGGAAAACGATTGAGAGCCTTGATTTTCTTTGCAGTTCCCTACTGTTCGCACATCCTCGCATTCTACTCAGTGGTAAACACAGATCAAAACATATTAGACCTGTTGGCATCAGTGGCTTGTCGAACTAACCTTTAACGAATCAGTGACGTATTAGTAAACTTATATGCAAGAAAGCTAACAATTTATTATCGCCACATTCCACACTGCAAGCAGGAAAACATTTAGATACTCATAAAAATGTATTACCTCACATTCTATCAGTCCACGTCATTTCTTCCAATTGATACCTCACCTCCTTCAGTCGCCTGAGCAAATGATGCGCACATATGAAGTCTCTGCATCGAAATACCTCTAGAAATGTCCTTTCCAGAAAATTGATTTCGATGTTTTTTTGACCGTGCGGACAGACAAGCAAAATATTGATTACCTATAGTTATTTTTAATCTGCTCTTTACAAAGTGACAAGAGCAATAAGAATAGTTTTTTGAAAAACTAAACAAATTTATTTCGAATCTTCTTATATTATTATTTTATTACTTATGAAATTGATCTCAATTATACGAAATTAGTTTTTATATTATGAAAATGTCATTGTTAAATATTTGAAGAAAAGATACTATTTAATCAAATATCGTTTTTGAATAAAAATTTGTTTGATTTGATAAATTCTTGTTGAAATAATTTTATAAAACAAATAAAAGATCTTCTTATCTCAAAAACTTTCTAATAAATTTTTTTTTCAATGAAAATCTTCTGATAAAATAATTAAAATAACGTAATAAATGAAGATAGTTGATTATAGAATAATGTTGATAAATAAATGTGAAAATATTTTAATTGAATTTGTTTTCTTATTTTATTTGTATAGAATTATTAAATTAAGATGTTAAATTCATTTCGCAAATATTAATAGCGGATTGAAAATGTGTCGAAAGATTTTCATATAAATTATAATAAGCTTTATTTCTTGAACATTTCGATTCATATGTTGATGGAATTAATTCTTTTTCATGTCTTTCAATACATTTAACAGAACGTAAAAATTCTCTTGAAATAAAAAACAAAAGATTTCATTTATCCAAAAAAAACGGCACAAAATAGTTACCTGCATTGTATTGGAAAATTATAATTTGATGAATAATGACATTTATTAATAATTTCTTTATTCAAATTTGATGGTAAACAATCATCATTATCTAAATTTTATTTTATAATAAATCAATTAGAATATTAAAAAAACAAAACATCTACCATTTTCAACAGCACATGAATTTATTATTAATTTCCAATAAATTTTAAAAGATTCATAAGAATATTGATGTTGATCAAATGAACAAACTTTATTACGAGCAAATATTGAATATAAACATTTACGATATGATAAACTTCTATTATAAGCTCTAATATAAACAGAGAGATTTAGATAAATAATAGAATAAATGAAACAAACTGGCAAAGATTTGATCCATCCATAAAATATTGATTTTCTTCTGTTGTTATATCAATTGTTGGATCAATAACTTTTTTATAACATTCAAACATATGCAGATTTACTAATGTTTCATCACATTTAGATTTTTCAAGATATTGACCTTAGATTTGAAAAAAAGAAAAGAAAAGATTATCTATTTAATAAAATCTAAACATACCAGTAACAAATAGAAGATTGATAATTAATATTATGAAGATAAATGTATTGAAACTGGTAGGAGAAATCATCATCATCATCAACTATTGAAAAATAAAATAAAAGAAAGAACAAATTAATAATGAGAGAAAACTCGTCTCGTCTCATATCATTTCTTTTTATCAAAGAAAAAACACACAAAGAAGAAAATATTTTCTTTTCTTTTATCATTTAGAAAAGAAGAAGAAGAAGAAATAATCGAAAGAACAAAAAGAAAAAGCAAATTTCCGTGTCAATCTTAATAAACAATTCTTTTCTTTATTTCTCGATTATCTATTTCTTTTTTCATCAAAAAACACTTTTCAAATCAATATCTTTTACTTTGTTTTCTCAATTTATTTTTATATTAAAAATAAAAAAAAAACGATTGATTTTGTAAAAGTTGTAAATGATTGATTATTTTATATGAAAATATATCTAAAAGAATTTTTATTCAATATAATCAATAGAGTAGTAATATCTCATGACAGTAATTTCCGTTTGTTATTAAAAACATCCTCTTTCATTACTTAGATTAATCGAAAAGATTTATTTCACTAAAATATTTTATTTAGAAAAAAAAATATTAAATTCTTAGACATTTTTTTTCCTTTTATTTTAATCTATTTATATATTAAAATTAAGTGAATAAGTTAACATATAAATTGTATAAAAGATCTTTTTTCTTTCTTTTCGATTGAACCTATATTTAGATAAAAGGAAAATTAATAATAAATATCTTATTAAAATGTCATACTATTGACTGTCTTCTATCAAATATTTCTCTCCATTTATTTAATTACAAAATAAAATCTCTTATTTAATATTATATATTAACATTTAATAGACAAAATACGAAAATAAACAATCAATAGAATATAATCGGGACAGTTTTTTAAATCGTAATTAATGTATCCGATAGAGAAATTCCATAATTAGGATTTAAAATATGAATACTGCGACACATTGTTTTTTTGACTGTATTAGAAATCTAATAATAAATCATTAATTAAGTTTGATCTATAAAAGTAACCTTTGCCGTATGACAAAAATAAAGAAACAAGGTCATGAACATTTTTAACCTTTTCATACGAATAATAAAGCTGATCTAAAGATAAAAGATCAATCGAAACGTATGAAATTAATTGGAGTAGTTTCTTAATAAGGAACATATATTCAACCATAATAACAACAATATGAAAGAAGATGAAAGTATAAGTTCTTGAATTAGTATTTGAATTTTAGAATAATTATTCTATTAAGAATAGTATTTTGTAGAAAATAATCATATTAGAACTAATTTAATAAATTTCATTCTACCCTAACTAATTTAAAAGGTAATTCAATCTTCTTCTTCAATTGCATTAATCCGACTTAAAATGAAAAAGTCCCGAGTTTCATTGATGAATAAATCTTTTATCTGTTAACTAGAATTGTAATCAATATTTATCATTTGTAACGGGTCTCTAACAAAACTCTATTGACAACAAATTTATTCCTTTATCGATTTTTATAAATAAAAAGTAAAAGTTACTTCAATACTTTTCTCTATACAATAGTTATTTTTCAAAATAGAAGAGAGATAAATATCAAAAAATCTTTCATTTCATTTTTTGTCCATTGTTCCTAAAGTGATTCTTCTTTTATTTAAAACGATATTCATACAACTAAATTGGCAATATACAGATGCAGAGGTAACAGGTATAGAATTTATCTTACTTGCTATTCTTGCCAATATTGGATAAATCGTTTAATGTTTTTTCTAAAAATTTCTTATGCTTGCCAATTGTCAAATACAACGTCTATATATAATAATCTTTTTTCTGAGAAAAGACAATTATATACTCCATGAGAGACAACACTTATCCCATCCAATAGGATCCTATGTGAAGGCTTTATTTGTATAACATTGTACAGTTTGATTTAAAACATAAGAATAAATAAAATTGTAAAATAGACATTTTTCCATTTATTTGTATTTATGTTAAAAGTTCTAATTGAATTTGAATAATTATATTTACTTGTTTTTTTTGTTTATTGATAATTAATTTATTCGATTAAAATTATAAGTATTGTAAACTAATCGATGTATAAATTCATGTCAAATAATTTTATCTTGATCGATGTATCACCTAAATATCGAAGTGTTAAAAAGTAAACAAGGTGACGAAGGGAATCTTTGAAATAAATTAAGTTTATTATTAAAAGTAATGATGCATATATATTTATTTATGTTGGTTGTATATTTCATTAGATTTTCAAGGACATATAACTTACTTAATGTTAAATAATTTTATTGGAATAAATTTATTTTATTTAAAATACAAAAAACAAAAATATTTTCTTCTATTAAGAATTATTTAATGTAAATATATTATTTATTTTAATTATTGGTAAATTTCAAAAGAAAATCTTTTTTCTAAAATTAATAAATTGTTCAATGAAATCTATTTCAGTTCAAAAATAATTTTCTACTAAATTTTGATTAAATAAATATTTATTCTTTCGCTTCGTTGATAACAAGTTTTTAAAGCTTTTCTTATACTATTTTAATCGAAAAACAAAAAAAAGGTTGTAAATCTCGATGGAAATATTAATTTTTTTTCTAAAAATAAACGAAAACAAAGTTCTGTAAAATAAACTCGTGTGTATCTTTTATATTATTTTGTAGTTGTCAATTATTTTTTGTTTTTTATCTTTTTTCGTTCTTAAAAAGTAATGTAGATTGTCTAGTGTATGTTTATTGAGTAATGTATTATTGAAGTAGTTTTGTAAGTTAAGAAAAGAAAAGAAAAATAAAAAGGTAAAAACACGTTCTATTACAAATATTCGTCTTCCGACTAACAAAAAGAAAAATCGTTCGTTTTATTACTTTTTATCAAAAAAACATCAAATCTTTCAGCATTTTTTTCTTTTTCACTAGCAAATAAAACCACAAATATCATAAGTAATACCACATTTTGCTTCTTTATTTAATATGAATAAAAAATTTATTTTAGATTTTAAAATTCGATAAAATGAAAGGATAAGAAACTTTTTCTAATAAAATTAATTTAGAAAATATTTTTTGAAAAAAAAACGAGAAGATTTATTACAAATTGTATGTTCATCTAATAAATATTCTTTGTAAAAAAAAACTTTTATGCGATTTAGTATTTTGAATGACATTAAAAATTTTCGTTGGATTTTATAAAAAATTCAATTAAAAATGCGAATAATAAATCATTTCTTATTGTAGTTTGAACGAAAAGGAAGAAAAAAAAAATTTTTGGTTTAAATTTCAAACTAAAATATATGTTTATGTTTACAAATGAGGAATTAGAGATTTAAATCGATATAAAGTATTTGAAAATATTTCTATAAAATCAATTTAATACTTTTTATTTAAACTCTCTATTGTAATATATAGATTCAAAGTCTTTTTCATAAAAATGACAAAAAAGAATCTTTTTTATTCTAGATAAATTATTTTCTCCTAGACAAATAATGGACAATTCGATCCAATATAAATTATATAATACTAAAAAAACAAGAGAAGCAGACAGAGATGATGAAACATCAAATACTTTCTCTAGTAAGAGATTTCATTCAGATTCGTATCCAGTTGAATTTCACAATAATGAACAATTTCCTAACGATCTTAATACAAATTCCATTACAGAATTAGAAGATTCACAAAATATCTCTTCATCTTCAGAATCCAATCACAGTAATTTACTTTCTTTTTTTTTTTAATTTTGAAATTATAGTGACATATTTTGTTTTGTTTTAGTAACAAATCAAATCTTATTAAATCATCCATCATGTCAATTTCTCCCAGGTAAATTAATAGAAATATTTAATTCTCAAATAAATTTCTTTTACTTAATTATATTTTTTAGATAAAAAATGGCTTAATTGTCAATATTATGACTTAGAAAAAACAAAAATCAAAAGACCAAATGAAATTGAAAATGAAATGGAAGATCCTCCTGAAATTAATAATAAGGAGATATTAAATCGTATTCAAGGTTCAATTATTGGAATGGCATTAGGTGATGCCCTTGGTGCCCATGTTGAATTTCGACCACGATCATATTTACTTGAACATCCAGTTAATGATCTACAAGGAGGAGGAACATGGGGTCTTGAAATAGGACAAGTATAACATATTTTTTCTTTTTATTTATTAAAAATAAATTAAAAATCTTTGTTTTAGTTTACTGATGATACATCAATGGGAGTTTGTTTAGCAAATTCTTTAATTGCTCGTCATGATTTTATTCCATATGATCAATTAGTTCGTTATCGTTGGTGGCATATCCATGGATATATGTCATCAACAGGAAAATGTTTTGATATTGGTTCAGCTACAAAACAATCATTAGAAAAATTTGGACAAAAACAAAAAATATTTGCTCAAGAAAATAATATTCCATTACAAGAAATTGATTATCTTTCTGATGCTGAACTTTTAAAGCATTTTGATGTTTATTGTAGCGTAGATGAGGTAGCAGGAAATGGAGCTCTTATGCGTCTTGCACCTGTACCATTATTCTTTTATGAACAACCAATTGAAGCTATTGAATATTCTGGAATTAGTGGACAAATAACTCATGGTGATATAAAAGCTTATGATGCTTGTCGTTATTATGCTTCGTTAATTGTTGCTGCACTTCATGGTGAAACTAAAGAAAAATTACTTGATAAAGATTTTTATTTAAATCATAAACAATGGTTTAAAGAAAAAGATCTTCATCCAGATATTATGGAAATTTCTCAAGGTTCTTTTAAAAAACCGGGAGGATATAATGATGGTATACGAGGAAAAGGATATATTGTTAATGCACTGGAAGCTGCTTTATGGGCTTTTTGGTCAGATGAAGGCTCGTTCAAAAAAGGTGCTTGTGCTGCTGTTAATCTTGGTGATGATACTGATACAACAGCTGCTATTTATGGACAATTAGCTGGAGCATATTATGGATATAATAATCTTCCATCAGAATGGATTGAAAAAATTTATGCGAAGAAATTTCTTCAAATATTAAGTAAATGGATTGCTTATGAAGGACAATTATGGACATCACGAAATTTTCCTCCATCCACTACAACATCAACAATAACTTTACCATTGGACAATAAACATACCATAATACCATCATCTCCAGAAAAATTACAAGAATCTTCACCTTCGCAAAAATTACAAGAGTCTTCATCTTCAGAAAAAATACAAGTATCGTCATCTTCAAAACATATAGATGAAAACAAATCTAATTATTCAAAAACTTTTCCAGTTCATTATGAAAAATCTCCACCTAATAATTTTTATCGTGAAATTCCAATAATTAAAGAAAATAATTCTTATCATGAGGTTCCAGTAATTAAAGAGTCAACATCAATTTCACATGGTATTCGATCCAAACATGATAATGTATCGTTTAAGAGAGAAGAAAATAATTCTTATCAGGAGATTCCAATTGGTATAGGATCCAGATATGATAATAGATCGCCTAAACGAGAAGAAAATAATTATTTTCATGAAATTCCAATTGATATAGGATCTAGACATGATAATAGATCGTTTAAAAGAGAAGAAAATTTTACTAATCATAATACTTTTTCTTCATATTCAAATAAACATGATCAATCAAGTTATAAATGTAAGTGTAATTTTTCTCAATATATTAGACGAAAAGAAATGTTTTTTTTTTATAAAATTGTTCATTACTCCATATTAAAACTGATATTGATTCTGTCTCTTTTTTCAGCATCATCAAATCGTCGAAATAATATGGCAACTTGGAATGATAATGATATTTATGAGTGGCTTCAATCATTAGGTGGAGATTATAAAGTTTATGCTGACCGTTTCAAGAAGGAAAAAGTTGATGGATTTCAACTTTTCATGTATTTTAATAGATATACTTTAATTAAACTTGGAATTACCAACGAAAATCATCAACAAAAGATCCTTGATGATATTCAACGATTGAAAAACTTACATATGAGTGCATTCTAGAATTAAATATTATTATTATCTATTAATCAAAATATTTGCAAAACAAATTTAAATTTTATTCTTGGTGCTTAGAGTTATATAAATATATAATATCATTTTTATAATTGTTAATTAACGAAAAATAAACTATTTTTAATAGTAGAAATCAATTTCAAAAACAAAAGATTCCCCACCAATCCGCATTCTCAAGATCAATATCTATTTCTATTAAAAAGGAAAAAAAATATAGAATAGTGAAGAACAAACAAAAAAAGTTTCTAAAGTGAAATTTTTCTGCGAAGAGTAGACAAGTTAATTACTCTAGTTTCAAGACAATCGAAGAGTACTAGATGAATATTGATCGATGTTTTGAAAATCTCGCGTAAGAAATTAATTGGTGCATTAGTATCTCCATTTCTGAGAATAATAATGACTATATTGTTCTGTTCATTGACTAACATCAAGTGTAACATGTCTAAAAGTGAACTATCAATCATAGATGATACAATAAGTAGAAAGAATGAAGATGTGAGAAACAAACTAATAAGAAGTTTTTTTCTTTGAAGTCATTAGGCTCGACACGATCATTATGATCGTTGTAGAACCGAGTGCCCAAATTAGAAATGAGTATAAAGATTAACCTATACCCTCAAGATAAACAATTGTAATAGATAATATATTTATTTGAATCTGTATTTTATTTTACAAAATTTGTTAAATCTTATAAAACAAAAAATGAAAAGAATAAAAATAGTTAAAAAAGAAAAAAATATTTTTGGATGAGCATCAATTTGATTAATTAAATATCCATCAAATAAATGCCATGATCTTCCAGCATCATGAAATATATAATTTGATAATTGATTATGAGATAAAATAATTAATTTGGAATTTTCTTTTAAACTTTTAAAATAAATACTATTTCGAATAATATTTGTTAAAAAAATTGATCCTGTTGAAAAAACTTCTAAATATGGAAGAATATATATCTGATTAAAAAAGGATTTTTGAAATATTTTTCGAAGAATAGAATTAAGAATATTTGAATGTTTTTCACTGATTAAAAAATGATTAACTAAACAAATATCAGTTGATGATCGTCCAATAATAAAAGATGCATTTTTTAAAATAAGTTTATCAAGATTTGTATCTTGTGGATAAACATCTAAATCAGCATAAATTCCTCCATATGAATGAAGAATTATTAATCGAGCTAAATCAGCACGTTGAATTGAATAAAAATAAGATTTATAGATTGAATATAAATATTTATAATCATTTTTTAAAATTAATTCTTCAATTTGTTTATCTGTCCATAAAATAAATTTATAATTTGGATAAAATAATTTCCATTTATTATGAGAATTATTTATTGGATATGTTGATAAATCAGTTGTTTTCCACATTTGATGTATTATTTCAGGAATTTTTCTATTTGTTTCATTTAAATCTTCTTTATCAAATGAACGTAAATCAATTCCATATAATAAATCATTAACTGTTAATAATATTAACATTAATTGCCATAAGAATATCAATGTTATTACAAAGAAGAAATAAATACGAATTTTCATTTACTTTTAACAACCAATTTACCATTCAATTCTATTAAGAAAAATAACGAATTTATTTATTTTTCTTCTTCTTCCAAACAACGCATCAGTCAAAACTCAAGTGAGTCACTTGTTCTTTGCATCTAGTTATGATTTCGAAAAGAAAAAAAACGTTTGCTAACAACGTAAAAGTGTGACGAATGCATTACTATAAGTCATTTTCGAAAAACTCTATAGCGTTTGAAATCTATGAACGTATTTTTATAATTGTAATTTAATTAATAAAAATAGAAATAATTCATAAGTAGATAAAAAAAATATTAAAAACCACAAAACTCGATTTACATTGTACTTTTCTGTTATATCTAAAGTACATTGACAAAGTCATATATCAAGAGAAAAAGCGTGTCAAGATAAGATGACAAATTACGATTCTATAGGCAAAAAAAAAGGTTTCTTACGTAGGTAATACTCATGAATATTTATTATATTTTCTCATCTGAATAATGACATGTGAACGTGAGTAGAACCCATTAGAATTTCTTCGACACAGGAACGTTTCATTTCTTCTATAGAAGAATTATCATGTGAGATCTTATTCTTTTATTTCTCGGCATTGTGCGGTCAACTATCTTTTTTATTTGACCTTTGCTCGAGTGACAGTCGTATTCTTTACACTACTCATTTTGTAGAGTTAGAAGTAGGAATTATTCAAAATATTTTTATTTTATAAAATTGGATAAAATCTTTCAACATTCATTTTAAACATATAAAAACATAAATGAAATTATTTTATATAACTTACTATTTCACGTTTTTTTCATCTTGAAAAATGCGATCTGTCATCATTTAACTGATAACACATTTTTTTGGCTTTACTTTTCATATTCATAGTAAAAAAAACGTTGTATGAGAAGACATTGGAATTCTTAAAACTAACGAATAGAAGAGAAAAAAATAGAGAACTGGGAAAAAGGAAAGTATTATGGATTACTCAACTTACGAAAGATGTCGTTTTCTCATTAATATTACATTGACAATGACACGTTTTTACTATAAATCAATAAAACATATATACAATCTAAATTTCTATATAAACGAAATCAAATTGATTTCATTTTCAAATGAAGAAATTTATCGTGATGGACATCTATGGATATATGAAAGATATCGATGATCAAATAAATAAAAAATAATTCATTATAGAAATATTCAAATTTTGGTGATAATTTATAAAAAAATTTAAAAGGAAGAATATTTTTTAAATTAATTTCAATACTAATTAATATTAGAATAATAAACATGTATATAGAACTCAAATGAAACAACGCAGTCAGTTCTTTTTAATACTTTTCTCTCACTTCATTTTTATCCTTTTCTTTTGTTTAATAAATGTTTATGTAGATTTAAAAGTTTAAATATGATTACAAGGTACAAAAAAAGCAAGAGATTAGATAAAGATTTATGATATAATATCAAGGAAAGAGTTGAACATATATACATATACTGAACTAATCGTATAGAAAATAGAAAAATATCTTATGATCCAAAACATAACATAAATGATCTATATATTTGAATATGTAATCGACAATTTTAAGTGACAAAACTTTGATATTAAAATGAAAATAAAAAAGAATATATTATTTCTAGAGATCTCAATCATTTTTTAATGATATTTGATTTGATCATTTTAATAATCGAATAAAACTTTTGAAATTATTTTTCTATAAATAAATTAAAAAAAAAAGAACAAGATTATTTTTATTTAAAACAAAAATATACTTCGTAATATACTGACTTGAAACATATTTTAATTATTCTAATGATATTATAAACGTCATAGAAAAATTCCACAAATATGTCCATCAGTTATTCTATTCTCCTAAGAACTAGTTTTTATGGAAATAAATCTTTAATTTGATAACATTTAACCCAAGAGCGCTGTTCTGAAATTCCGATGGATCATATTATTTCAATTTTGTTGTTTTGTTTTGTGTTTAAAAGAAATCTCTATTCCATTCGTTGATCTCTAACAATCAGAAAAACAATCAGTCGGAGAATTGTACCTATTAACGTGGAATAAAATGGGAAAAAATAAAATTATGTGAATTCAGGCGAACCCTCAAAAAGCGCCGTAGGGTTAATAAGATTACGAAATTTTTTTTCTAATAAATATTCCATAGACATATTATATATTTGTTCTATGAGTACAAAAAGCTTCTTCGATTCTTTTGTGTCAAATTTATTATAATGATTATGAATGGAGAACTTTTCACATTAAATCTAGTGAAGAAGTTGAAAATATTGTTGATTATATGCCTAAACTTAAATTCTCTTTTTGAACAAGAGAAATTAATAGTTTTTTTACCTTTAATCTGTAATCGTTGAATATTTTATTTAGTTTTGAAACAAATGAATTATTAAAAAGTCATCTAGTAATTTCAATAAGAAATAATTGTGTTTTATTTATCAACAATTTTGATATCTAAAAGAAATTGTTTGAGATAAAAATGAAAAAATATTTCAAGTTAATTAATTCGTGTCATTGAGTTGAGTAAAATATTATTTTATAGATAAATGAGCTGTTGGATATAATTACAAATTAAAATATTACCTTGTTATTCCAGCTGATAGTTTCAATAAAAATCATGTTTTTGACTAGCCATACCGTTTATTTAGATAACTCCCCTACGGTGATCATGTGACAAAAAACTGTCGGCTACGATTTAATTATACTTATTTCTTTTTAGATTTGCACGATTTCAATGAGTAGAACTGTTGAGTATGCCAGAGTTTTTCTTCTAGAAGTATTTCCTAGTAGAAATTATTTTTTTGATAGATTTTACTGTTAATCCTATAGAATAAATTGTTGATATTAATTTATGAAAGTGTATCTAATATAGCTGAGAAAGTTGCGAAAGCTAGATTATCTTTTAGTTTGTTCATATGTATTATCTGTCATTGTGTCATTCTCTGTCTCTTACTTCAAGCTTAAAAGATAAATTAAATGAACTAATTAGTTAGAATATGAACTGAAATTTATTCATATCCTGATTCGTCATTCTCTATTCTTTAGTATTATCATTAATATTGCGTTCAATAAAATTCTCTTATAAAAAGATTCAAAATCTTCTTTATTCTTCATTAGAATTTAACTTGCCGACAAGAAAATATTCTATTACTTTTGTATTCAAATAATACATCATTATATCGGTTAGTAATGTCTTACGAATTATAACAAATTTAAAACAATATTCAACTTCTTTTACCAGAATTTTTATGTGGATTTAAAAATGTTATGAGGATATTCTTCGATCTGTGAATACGTGTTTTTTTATGCATAGGTTTAGGTCATAAATCTTTTAAAATCTTAATCATGATTAAATGATTATTTGATTTTAATTTATTATTATATATAATTTATTATGGAAACTATTCATCTTTTGTATTGGTATCACGAGAGATTTATATTGGAATATAATATTTAATAATGCTCATTCTTAATTTGTAATTGTATTTCGAAAATAGATGAGATAAGAAGCTACAATAATAACATAAGGGATAACAAAAGAGTATTCCTATTAGGGAAAGGTATTTCTAACAAAAATCACTTCATCAGATCGGAGACTATTTAATATGAGGAGGTGTTCAGTAGCGGAGGTTTTATTGTCCTATAAATAATTCATTGATAAGAAAGTAATCGTGCATAATTAAAAAGAACCGGAGATGAATCGGATTTTGTCTCGAATTGAAACTATTTTCTACAGTCATATCTTTAAAGAAAAAAAGTCTAGATAGTTTTTTTCAATAAATGTCAATTCTTTTTTGTAATTTCTTTGTTTCCTATATAGATTGAATATCATACTTATAGAAATGTAGTTAAGTGAAATCTTTATTTTGAATAGAAAAATAGAAAGAGAATTTTAATATATAAATATATGTTCTAAGTGAATTGATTTAAAATAGAAGTGGTAATATCATCGTATAAATCAATGAGTGAACAAACAAATTTATCTCGTGATGATTCATTATTTTGGAGTGGAACAGCACCTGTAAATTGTGATATAATTCGAATATTTGGTATATATTTATGTATATCGTCATTTATTGGTATTATTTGCAATGGTTCACTTCTTTATAGTTTTATTCGATATAAAGATCTTCGTTCCCCATCAAATATATTTGTTATGTTTATAGTTGGAATGGGTTTATTAGCATCTTGTACTCTTCTTCCATTGACAGGTACATCATCAATCTATTGTCAATGGTTATATAATCGTAGTGGATGTTTTCTTGATGGAATTATTGGATTTTTATATGGATGTAGTAGTGTTTATCTACTTTGTGCAGTAAGTATTAGTCGATGTTATATTATTATACGACCACTCAATGCAAATAAAGTTACAGTCAGTTTTTTATTTTAATAAAATAATTATTAAAAAATTCTATATGAAAATTTAGCTTGAAAAATGTATTATTGCATCGTGTGGAGTTGTATTAATAAGTTTTCTCTGGACCATGATGCCATTAATGGGATGGAATGAATATACAATGGATGTTAGTATATTCACTTTTTTGTTTTTATTTCAAATTATTTGTTAATATAAAAAAAACTAAAAAAATCTTTCATTTTTAGTTAGGTCGTACATCATGTTGTATAAATTGGTATGATAATCGTCCAGTCTATTTATCATTTACTATTGTTATATTTATATTTATTTATTGCATTCCATTAATTATTCTTATTGTAACAAATACAATAACTATGATTGGTCTTAAACGAATGCGTGAAAATATTGAACGTGGTCTTCAATTAAATTTTAGTCAAAGACGAATTGAAATGGAAAGACGCATTTTAAGAAGTAAAATTTCAATTAAAATAAGATTTTGAAAAACTAATTCTTAAATAAATCTTTAGGTATAACAATAACAACATGTGGTTTTTTCATAACATGGACACCTTATTCAATAGCCGTGTTAATTTCAATTTTTCGTGGTCCAGATTATGGAACACCACCTATAATTACTTCAATTTGTTCAATCTTTGCAAAATCATCTGCAATATGGATTCCATTACTTTACATGGGTACATCTACTCAATTTCGATTTCGTTTGGTTAATAATACTGCAGTAGATCAACAAACAGCAACTAATCGAGTAACTGCAACACAACAATGAATTTATTTCAATATCGAACTAAAATAAATATTAACTAATCTTCTTAATATTTTATTTTATTTATTTCTCTTTAATTATTTTCAAAAGTAAAGATTCAAATTTATCAATATCTAGAAATACATTTTTCTAACTCTTTTCATGATCTTTCATACAACCAATGAGAAAATTAGTTTCTAAAAATCCTGTTTTGGGATTTAATGAAGTTAACAATTGAATTTCATTATTTTTTATGAAGAATTAAACATGACTTTTTCGGGTTCCACTCGAGTGAATTCTTTTCTTCTAGTTTTAATAAAATCTTTTCAAAGATTCTCACAGGAAATTTCCCTCATATTAATCTTATATATAATTCTCATTGAATCAATGTCTTATTAGAAAGACTTTTATAGAAATTAATTATGAAAAATAAAATCTGATTTCATATATATTTATTATATAAAAGTTAACTTAACCTTCTCCAGTCCATTCTATGAAAAAAGCTTCACATACTGATTTTTTCTGATGGAACAATGAATAGAAGATTCAATAATATAATGATACTTAGAAAAATCTCTAGAATTTGCTTTAATATTTTTCCACAATAGTTTAGAAATAAATAAATAAAACTAAACTCGTTCATTAATTTAGATTCTTGAAAGAAAGATGTGCATTTCAATTTCAATGATTAAATAATGATTTACTGACGAAAGAATTTTGAATAGAATCTATAAGAATGAATATATATTAATTTTAATATTCATTCAATGTTTTTTTAATATAAAAAAAAGTTGTATATATAATAGAGAATGATTTGATAAAAATCAATTTATTTAATCTAATAAATGAAAAAGTAACTAATATATATATGTATAATGAATATAAGAATAAAAGTAATGTTTGTTATGAAAGTATTTCAAATAAACTCAGCATTGATCTTTATTATCTTTATATTCAATTAAAATGTCATATTGATAAATTTGTTCATTATTTGATTTTAATTCTTCTCCAATGATTAAAATACCTTCAGGAATTGATTGAATTTTGTCATTTAATTGTTTATTATCAGATTTGGGTGTAATTGTAAATTTTTGTGAAGTTATTATTTCTTTATATTCATATTTAATTGATTTTGATTTGGAATTTTTAATAATTAAATTAATTGAATATAATGCTGAATCTCTTTTTTGTGATAAAATTTTAACTTGACGTATAAAACTAACATCAGGATCATTTCCACAATCTAAATCTTGTTTTTCACCTTGTGAAAGATCTGATATTTGTGTTTGTCCAACAACTCTTCCATCTTCTCGTATTGTTATTGTTCCTTTAGGTAAAAAACTATCGGATTCAATTCGATATTTTCTTTGAAATTTTCCTTTTTGTGTTTGTTCTTGAAAATAATTTTCTAATCCCGAATATTTTTCTAATTTTAAATTTGGTTTAACAAAAGGAAGTGAAAATGTTGATTGTTGAATAAGAATAAATGGTTGATTTATTGAATAAAAATAAATTCCAGCTAATTCACCTTCAGATTGAATTGAAGGTGGTACAGCTGGAGATGAATCACAACAACAACAACATGTTTTCATACAACATCGTTTCATTAATCTAGGTGCATGATGAGTTTGTTGAAGATGAACATCACCACCAAATAATTCCGTATGTTTTATTTGATAATCACGTTTTGTATTATTTGTCATATCAGCCCAAGCTTCAAATGAATGTTTATCTGATTCAATTTTTAAATTATATCGTGGTGACCAATTGATTCCTAAAAAAAGAAAAAAGAAAATAATTTTAATAAAAGATTGAAATAAAACTAAACCATTAATAAGATATGAAAGTATTGCATCTCCTTCTTGTCGTAAAGCAAAAGTAACTTCTTGTCCTTCTTCTTCAGGAATATTAACATATTCAAGTTCATAATTTTGTCCACGAATATATCGACCTGATTTAACTTCTTTTAATAATAAATCTGCGGAACGAATAACTTGACATTCAATTGGTTGTTCATGTTGACGACGAATAAAAACAATTTGATTTTCTAAATTATTTGCTTTTGTTACACTATTTTGACTTATAACATCAATTCCTTCAATACTAAGACTTCCTTTTACAATTTGATCATAAACTTCACGTGGAAAATAAATTTTAAAATTCTAAATAAACATTTATTTATTAAATAAGAAAAAAAGAAATCTTTTCAAATTTCTATTTATACTTGTGGTGCATTGAATTTTTCACGAATTTCAGTAAATGATGGATATATACGAAGTTCTGTAAATGATGGAAAGATTTTATCTTTATCTTTATCTTTATCTTTATCTTTATCTTTTCCATTAATTGAATGTTGGTCACTTGTATCACTTGAATCTGTACTCATTTTTTTATAAATATCTGAAATAAATCATAAAATAACCTTTAACGATATATCACCTTCATCAATGATATTATTCTCATTATTCATACATGATCGATAAATATAAATATGTACATTTATGTTCTTTTCTTCCTTGGCTTTCTTTTTTCACCTATTAACGATTAGGAATAAATAGAAAAAGAAAAGAGGTCTCTAGTATTTATTAACTATATCTATTCAAATAAATCTATATATAATAAATGTCTTCATACATGTTTTAATATTCGAATTAGCTTATCTAATAAATTAATCTATTATTATGTTTTACAATTTGTCTCAGAAATGACTAGATGAAATAAAACTATCAGCTCATATTTCAATTTTTAGAACATTTTTCAAGTGAATTCAGATAACTATAGAAATTATATCGTTGTTCATATCTGTATGGTACACATTTGAATAATATAGAAAGATTGTCATTTTTCGACTGAATATTTATATTTTACTTGAAACTTTCATTATTTGTTCTTGTTCTATATAAAAAGTATTAATGTCTTGCCTTTGTCAATAATAGAAATATTTATAATCAAAGTAAATATTTTTATTTTTACTAAATAAAAACTGTGAGAATAATTCTAAATCTATATTTAATTTTTTTAATTCTTAATAAAATCAATATGACTATTGAAAAATTTGTCTTATACTTCTTTTTCTGCGATATAAATTGAAATAAATTTTATTATATTTAAGAATAATGAGTGACATCTTTAATAAATCTATAAATAACCATGATATTAACGAAAAGATAAGATAAAAATAAACATATTTATCATTTCGTAACAAAGCATGACTAACGATGATATTCGTTTAGGTGATATTATTATTGAAGATGATGGTGGTGATATAGTTTTAATTGGATTTCCATATGATGAAGGTGTACGAAGAAATAATGGAAGAGTTGGAGCTAAATTTGGTCCAAATTCATTTCGTCAATTATTAAAACGAACAGGAACTGTTGTTAATGCTGAATATGATGATCTTGATATTAGAAAATATGTGAAAATATCTGATGGAGGAAATATAAATGAAAATTTAAGTTTAGAAGAAGCTCATCAACAATTAGAAGAACGTATTAATCAATTAATAAAACAAGGAAAAATTCCATTTGTTGTTGGAGGTGGAAATGATCAATCATATCCAAATGCTTCAGCTTTATTAAATAATTCAAAATCAATTTATGTTATTAATATTGATGCACATCTTGATGTACGACCATTAAAAGAAAATAATAAAGCTCATTCTGGTTCACCTTTTAGACAATTAATTGAAGATCAAAGATTTAAATCTAATACTTCAAGTACAGATTCTATTACAAAGAAATATAAATGTCTTTTTTTTATTTTAGATCGATTTATTGAATTTGCAAGTCAAGGATCTCAATGTTCAATAGAACATGTGAATTATCTACGTTCAAAATCCCCATTAACAAATATAATTTGGTATCAATCAATTCGAAATGATCCTTTAACACCATTTCGTTCAATAATAAAATCCGGTGAAGAAGATAAATGTGATATATTTGTATCATTTGATATTGATTCAATAATTTCATCATCATGTCCAGGTGTTAGTGCACCTGCAACTGTTGGTCTTTCAGCTGAACAAGCTTGTGATATTGCTTTCTATGCAGGACAATCTTTTCAAGTTAAATTAATGGATCTTAGTGAATATAATCCATCGATCGAAGAATACAGAACTGGAAAACTTGTTACACTTATTTTTTATCATTTTATTCTTGGACGAGCTAAAGCAATTAGAGATTCAATCAAATAACCTTTTTTTTCTTTTATTTAGAAAAAAACAAAACTAATAATTATTCAACTAATTTTTAAATTAACCTTTTCTTTCTATTTAAAAAATAAAAAAAATCAATTTTATTTAATTAAAAACATCATTATTTTTGTTTTACGTACTCATAGGGTGTGGGTGAATGCAAGATAAGTAGCATATTGAGTTTCATACGTTGCACTTAAACTATTATAAGTAAGTAACATTGATGGTGATGGAAACGTTCGTAGTATAGCTGAAAGTGCAACTACATAAGCTCCACCACCTCCTCGCAATATCCAGAATAAATCAGGATTTTGATATTTATTTACTACTTGACGTTGTCCATCAGCTGTGACTACCTCTTTGTAATAAGTCACCTGTTGAATCAACAGTACTTGCTGATCCACCAACAGCAATCAAATTTTATTGAACTAACCACGTATTTATTTTTTTCCATTGACTACCTGTACCAACACGAACAAGTTTTGATACAATTCCATCAGTACATAATAAATAGTCATTGATTAATGCTATATTCTTCATATAATAAAGCTAAAGAAGAAGTGGTCCAGTTGCTTCTATAATTTATCGAAGATTAGACATGTTCAGATAAAGTAGCATTAATATCGTATAAAATTATAGATCTCTAAGTACATATTATATTATCAGAAATAATTGAACATGAGGGTGTGGGTGAGTATGCGTGAGAGTGTAGGTTAAGAGAAGAAACACCTACACCCTCAAGATGGTGGATGTAAAAGATATGGTCATATCCTAATCTACCGCTTTTCACATCCCTATTCTTATGATACTGCTTTAGAAATAATACTGACCGATTCTATGCAGCGTCTGGAAAATTTTCTCCTCTTTGATGATTTTTCTGTCTTATTCTATCGCAAACAAAGCCCTAGTAACACTTCATTCACTTACTTTCATTACATATGTCATAGTTCATTAAAAGAAAGAATTTATTTTCTCTCTCTCTTATTATTATAGGTTAAGATATGTTGCATTGCTCTGTTCAATCGCAGAAGAAAACACAATAAACAATAAATATAAACACTTTTTGTATACGTGTTTAATATCCATAAGAAAAAAGCTAACAGTTCAATGTTGTCTTTTAAAAATATAAGTGTAAATATGGATACTATTCTCATTCTTCTTTTCATTCACAGTTTGAAGTTAAATACAAATAATTAATTCAAACAGGAAATTGTGAAACGTGAGTGCACATATGAACAGTTCTGAATCATCCTTAGTCACACTCTCTTCTTTTACCTTGACTGACCTTTTCTTTTCTTGGGTATTTTTCTCTCTCCTTTATTTTTTAACCTGGCGTCCGCTTCTCTCTATGCTTCTTATTGCACTGTGACTGCTTGTGTCAGTCGTTATGCCATCTTCTAAACGAAAGGATGTGGGTGTGGATATGGATGCATATACTTCACTGACACACACCCACATTCTCAATCAATAATAACGTAATAGTGCGAGATATGATAAATCTAATGGGAAGTACTGGACATGTTTAAAATCAAGGAATATATTAAAAGATAAAATAAATAAACATTCAAGTAACAATAATACTGTTTCTTCTATTAATGTTACTAATCCAACAACAACAACCAGAAAATTAAAACAACAAATAGATCTCAATAATCAACAAAATGAAGTAAGTAGTATCAATTATCCAATCACAAGAAATAGATTAAAATAATCAATAAATAATAATGATCTTGGGGAATGGGTGTAAGTGTCTCTCCTTTGTGTCTCTAACTCACACTTTCAAGTCTCGGAATCTACTGTTTCTCCGTAATACTTTTTTTCATTTCCAATAAATTAATTTAAAGCAAAAGTAGCAATGATAACTTGATTAAATTAAGAAAAAAAACTTGTATTGTTCTCATTTCATGAATAATATAAAAACAGTCTGCAGCAAATAAATGTGTTTATTGAATAGATTCCTTCATACACCACTCTGTTGTGGAATAATCAAAAAGGGTGTCATTTAAGTGGTCAGTAGAATAAATGAAACGGTCAGTAAAAAAAAAATTCAAAAGTCAGTAGAATTATTGAATGGTCAGTAAAGTAATGATTGATCAGTAAATTATTGAAATGGTCAGTAATTAATTTAATATATCCGTAATAAAATTTAAACGATCAGTAGATAAAATGAAATGGAAAGTAAAATAATATAAATTTGTGAAAATTTGGTCTACTTTTTTTTTTTCTTTTCTTCTCCCATAATAACAAATGACAGAGGATATACATTTTTTTTCGTTCTGTGACTTCTACGTCTATCCAAAGTACTATCTGCTTGGAATTTTCCTTGTTTTAATCAGTGAAAGAATTTTCTTGTGTTGGTTTTTTCCCAATGCAATGGGATATTACCACATCCAGGTACTATCTAATACCTATATAAACTCGCAAACTTTATCAACAATGCGCTTGACTCTACTAACAGAACAATCAAAAACGATGGGACGTTTCGTGAACGTCATGTTTTATCCAGATTTTTGACAACATCTTCGGATATTATACGTAATTGGTCAATAGATTGTGATACATCATTAACAAATGCAAAGCATTTCGCTACAGAACCCACAATCAGTTTAGCGTTATGGACTTCATCATATCAATGGGCCAAATCAAACAAAAATGTTATTTGTTTAAACAATGAATCTTCTAAAGTTTATTATATACCAGCTCGTGATTTAGATTCAATTCCTCAAAAAGATTTGAATAGATACAAGACACAAAAATTTACCACCTTCAATCAATTGAAAAAATCATTTGATATTTGGTGTCTGGAAGTAGAAAATGATTCAAATTGGAGAAAATCAAAATGTAACTGCCCGGCATTTCTCAAAAAATTTATACGTAAACATGTTGTTGGGATGGGGATAAGATTAAAGCATTGCAAACCACCAGCTGCAGCAAAAACAGTTCCCATCGGCGAAAAGCGAAAACGTGGTCGTCCATATAAAGCTAAAACTGCTCTCTTAGTGCAATAATAGAGTTTTCTTCTCATTCTTTCTATAGCTCTTGAAAATTCTCTTTATTATACTTAAATAAAATTTTCTTTGATAATGAATATTTTTTACTGATAAACTAAATTTTTTACAGACCAAAAGTGAATTTCTTACTGACCAAATTTCTTTTTTTTACTGACAAAAATCATATTTTTTTACTGCTACTTTCACAAAATCTACTGATCATTTTTGAATTGTTTACTGATTTTTTTCAAACTGACCACTTAATATATTTACTGACCATTTCAATATTTTTTTACTGACATTTCAATTATTTTACTGACCACGAAACATATTCCCAATCAAAAATAGTTTTCAAAATTATCAAGATTAAATTAGACTGTTCTAAAAGTTAGAATTCAATTAAAGTTGCATGCAAAATATATTGAGGTGTTCTAGAATTCGCCCGATGGTTCACCACCACCTATATTAATTTTAGATGGGTGACTGTCGGATTTTGTTTTGGTATGAGGTAAACCACCATGTATGGTAGCGAGCCAGTAGGTTGCAATAATAGATGTTAAATACGTAAATACAAATGCCGTTATCATCAGATTGACTGAATATTCGTAGGTCGTAGCGAAGAAGGATGAAAACGTGCTAAGCAGGAAAATTGTTGTAATAATTAGTAAAATGACTGTTCCAACAGGTACGTAATGATTTTTTAGTTTACCGCTGAATATTAGGCCTAATACAGTCAGACAGCCGATCAACAAGAGCAACGAGACGATAGATAGAGGACCAGCAGCTGCATAGTCTTTACTTACAGAAGGGCTGAAAACAAAAAATCCCAGAACAGGACCTTGGATGCCATCTCGACCCCAACCTGGTGTTGCCAAACCAAGAAGACAGAACACTGTGGAAAGTCCTGTAATCGCCATCATAGCATAAAGCAATGATTTTTCATTAATGGAAATCATATCGTTACAAGATATCTGCGACAACTGTTAACGTTTTTGTAATAGAAGATTTAGTCTTCAACGTCGCATATTTATTACCTGTCTACTCAATAGATAAGAAGCAAAAAAGAAACGAAAAAAAAGAGTGTAACGTATCTCGGAGTATTTGTTTTTATATTAAGAAAAACTGAAATTTAAAGATACATAAACATTAAAAGTGACTACAGCATTCTACATAAAAGCTTAACTTTTTTAATACCTTCATATCGTTAAGGTACAGAATATGCGAAACTTCAGTGAGTTTTTGTTTTCATTCATCTATATATAGTTTGATGGATGAGGGTGTGGGCAGATTTGAGATAAATAAGATACACCCACACCCGCACCCTTAAGATGGTTCTCCTTTCATGAATAATTTAAAAACTGTCTGCAACAAATAAACATGTGTTTATTGAATAGATTCCTTCATACACCACTCTGTTGCGAAATAATCAAAAATAATTTTCAAAATTATCAAGATTAAATTAGACTATTCTAAAAGTTAGAATTCAATTAAAGTTGCATGCAAAATATATTGAGGTGTTCTAGAATTCGCCCGATGGTTCATTACCACCTACACCAATTATACGTGGACGATTGCCAGATTTTGTTTTAGTATGAGGTAAACCACCATGTATGGTAGCGAGCCAGTAGGTTGCAATAATAGATGTTAAATACATAAATACACATGCTGTTACCATCAGATGGACTGAGTAAAAGTGAGTCGTAGAGAAGAAAGACGAAAACGTGTTAAGCAAGAAGATTGCTGTAATAATTAGTAAAATGACTGTTCCAACAGGTACGTAATGATTTTTTAGTTTACCGCTGAATATTAGACCAAATACGGTCAGGCAGCCGATCAACAAGAGCAATGAAAGAATAGATAGAGGAACAGCAGCTGGATTCATTAAACGTATCAAAGGGCTGAAAACAAACAATCCCTTGGTAAGATTTGGAATGGGATTTGGACCCCAACCTGGTGTTGTCAAGCCAATAAGACAGAACAGTGTGGAAAGCCCTATAGTCGCCATCATAGCATAAAGCAATGATTTTTCATTAATGGAAACCATATCGTTATAAGGTATCTGCGACAACTGTTAACGTTTTTGTAATAGAAGATTTAGTCTTCAACGTCGCATATTTATTACCTGTCTACTCAATAGATAAGAAGAAAAAAAGAGTGCAACGCATCTCTGAGTATTTGTTTTTATATTAGGCAGAACAGAAATTTAAAGATACATAAACATTAAAAGTGACCGCAGCATGCTATATAAAAACTCGACTTTTTTAAAAGCTTCATACCGGTAAGGTATGGAAATTGCAAAACTTCAGTGAATTTTTGTTTTCACTCATTTATATACAGTTTGGTAGTGCGTGAAAAGCTGATCACAAATATGTATATTTTATTTCGATTCGATCGCTATTAGGCTGAGAAAAACGCTAAATAAGTCGTAGGAGAGTTGTGGGTGTTGTAAATGAAAAATACGCATCCACATCCACGAGGGAGCACCTTGGAAGATTACTTTGTCAGCCAAAGTAAAAAATGAATTTCAATATTTCTAGCGAAGGAAGATGAATACGAGCCATAAACTACATATTTCACCGAAAACTCCTTGGCTAGGGAGTATATATGAGGTAGTGATGAAAACAGATAAGGAATAAAAATACTAGAAGTATGATAAAGTTTTTATTCTTTGCAACTTAATGCTACTAAGTCTTTCCAGAATATCTGAGGTAAAAAAGGGTGGGTGTGGGTGTGGGTGTGAGTTAAGAATACACATCCTCACCCACAACCTACTCTCTATTACAATTTTTTTCTTCTGTATCTTACTAATTTTGAGTCAAACCCAACCAGGGTGATCGTTAGCTGACCGTGTTCATATACGAATTTAATTTACTACAATCTAAACTGATGAATAATTAATAACAAAATGAAATATATATTCTACGTAAATTATTTATTTAAAAAATTAGAAAATATAAAAATGATTTAAATTAGTTCTCTTGTCCTTAGTTGATAAAAATTATATCATTAACTACAAAAAAGAATTTTATTATTATTTAGCAATAAAAATAACTTATTTATTTTAGCAACAGTTTCTTTAAATCGCTGAAAAAATGTTGCATGAGAATAAATTAAGTCAGTGTATTGCATGTTGTTCAAAAGGCGAAGATTAACAGTTTCTTGGATACGTTTAATTTCAAGTTGAAAACTTAATACCCAGCAAACAAGAAAATCAATGTTTCCGTAAATTTTGTATTTTGAGGTCACTAAAAACATACGTCACTTAACGATTCCACAAACAGATGTATATCGTATTCTCTGTACATACTGAATGAATTTAAAAGACAAAAATACATGTTATATATTTTTATAATTTTCTTTCTCTTTTTTTCACTTACAATAAATTTCTTTGGTAAATTTCTCCCAGAACGATCATTCCGACCATCGGAACCGGCGGCTTAAATGAGAGTGTGTGTGTTGCTGAGTGGGTGTGGGTGAGTGTAAGATAAGTAAGATACATCCACACCGTAATGAATCGTGTATAATTAATATTGTAACAACAATTTTTGCGTGCCTATAACTATCATGTAAACGCTAACATACAGGTAAAATAATAGTAAGATTCTTTATATTCGGATATTTCTTTAACAAATTGCTGCAGTTTTCCTGAATATCTTTCATGGTTATAGTAATGTTCATGCGAAGATCGATAATGTCTTTATTAACAGCGGTTTCACCGACAAAAGCAAGCGTGCTGAAAATAGCAATAACTATCTAGGTCGATCATTTAGATCATCTGAAACGTCGCCTTATAATGTATGAAGCGGCTAGAGGACAGCGTAATTTCAGCCGTAAACTGCTAAAATTGAACGCCATTTCATGCTGTTTTCATCGATTAACGGCGAATCCTATTAGTATCATTTTCTACTCAGAACGAACATTAAGACATTCTTAAAGACGCTCACCCATATCCACATCCGTACGTACACTCTCAACCACAGCTTAGATTTTAAATAAATAATGAGATATTTAATCTATAGTTTTTATTTCAAAAAAATTTGCACGCTTATGTATTTCGTGTAAGTGTCGCGAGCGCAAGTGTCATGCCACGCGTTTTAAACTAACGTAAGCTATAAAAATACTATGATAACTAGTTGTAATTGAAATCATGAAATAGACATTGTCACAAGATTCAGGATGGTAGATAATCTATGATTCGACAAGATCCTTAAGATAATCAAACACAGAAAAGACTGATTCTGGTCGTCGAGGACTAGAGACTTCTCTGATCGATAACTAAAGATTTTCAAGAGGACACTTTTCTATGAGAGTGTAGGATGAAGGCGATGGTGAGTGATATTTTCTCATCTACACCCACACCCACACCCAACAGACACCCTCACCCTCAAGATAATATATGAAGTACAGTAATTAAATATGAAATATTATTTTCATATTTTTAATTATTTATAATATATTTAAAGAGTAAAACTATTGTTTTCAATTCGTATAAAATTGGTTAATATACTTTTGAAGAAAAATCAAAGAATAACTATTAACAAACTTATTACACGATGACTGAGTAAAATAAATAGCATTTTTACATTCAAGTGAATATTCAAGTAGAAACATAATCTTTATATTAATAATCAGAATTATGAAAACTTTTATGAGAAAAAGATGTAATTAAAATTTTTTTCTGTATAAAATATTTATGATTTTCATGAGAAAAAGATACAAAAATTTCGACTTCACTTTCTTTTTACAAAATGTGATCTTTATTGACTTATTACAATAAATGGTACGAAGCAGTTTATATCGTAATAATATTAAATTGATAAATTAACTGGAATGAAGTTTTATGACTATATTTAATATTTACAAAGATTCGATAAAAAATTGATAAAATCTGCAAATACTTCGTAATAACATATATATGTATCACATCATGTGCTTTAAGAAATAATGAGGTCGGAAGTCGTTGTCAATACATATTGAATTAGAAGAAAAAACATAACTTGCATTTGTTTTTATCATGATTTTTGTGAATAAATGTTTTTGTTTGTCACAGTTCATTGATTTTTCACAGGTGTCTTATAAAAAGATAATGCATTTGTTCCTTTTATAAATATATCTGAAGATATATATTTATCTACATATATTTATTAAAAGGACAACAAATTCAAATTATGCTTGATCATCGTATTATCATATCTATTATTGTATTCATCGTTGCATTCAGTGCATTCTGTGTTCTTTCAATAAATTCACCTAGTAAGTTCCGATAAATTATATTAAACATTAGTATTAATAATAAAAAAAATTCATTTTAGTTTGTAGCACTGATTCAAATTGTTCAAAAGGCCAAACTTGTTCAAATGGTCATTGTATTACTTCGCAAACCAGCGTAAAAGTGAAACGTTCTAGTGATGGTGATGATGGTGGTTATGGTGGTTGTTTTTCTGGTAGTGACAGTGTACGACTGGATAATGGAAAATTAAAACTAATGCGTGATTTACAAATCGGTGATTCGATTTGGTCAGGTAATCAGAATGAATTATGTTTAACAAATGTTATTCGTATACCTCATGCCGATCCTAATCTTTTGTGTAAATAATCATATTTTATTTAAATTTATTATTGAATATTTTTCTTTTAAGTTCTTTTTTATACAATGAAAACACGAAGTGGCCATCAAATAAGTTTATGAAATAATCATTATATATTTGTAAATCAATATGGATATTTATCAGCTGATCAGTTAACACTTAATCACTCACTTCATTTTATTGATTATAATAATACTATTATATCTTCATCTATAGTTAATATTAAACGTGAACATAAATTAGGTGTTTTTCAACCCGTAACATTATCAGGTACATTATTTGTTAATGATATTGTTGCTTCTTCCTATCTTAATAATCTTAAATTAACTCATGAAGAATTACATGATATATTAGCACCACTTTGTTGGCGGTTTTATATCGTAAATCCATTTGGAAAATGGATTTCTCAATCAAATTATAATCAATTATTTGTACATTGGTTTCAAAAACGACTTATTTGCTATAGAAATTATCTTTCATTAATTTATAAAGTATTTACTGCATCTTTAATCTTATTTTTTAGTATAAACATTATTAAAATCAAATATTCTTCATAAATTATAATCCGTTTTTTTATCAAACATTTGTATTTTCTAATTTTAAATAATTTTTTGACGTTAAAAAAACATGACTAACTTTATTTACTAATAAATATGCATAAATAACATCTTTTTATATGAGCGTTTGCATTTATAACATCGATCAATACTCATTAAACAAAGCGTAAACGAGATATCGTTAAAAAGGATAGATTAGCCTTTTATCTCGTATAGAAAGAAAGAAAAAAAAGATACAATTGATATTGATCAATATGAAAAAAGAAAGAAATTTGAACGGTCAAGTTAAATCATCATATGAGATATTTTATTTGATTGATTAAAATGACTTGTTTATTCGTTGTTAATGTTAAAGAGAATGTTATGGAAATCTTTGATTTGAATACGTTGAAAAAAACGGCTGAAATAATTCATGATTATTTTTATGAAAATATTGCTTATGTAAGTATTCCTTATCGAGAAAGTATTTAGAATAATAACTTGACTAAATCATTCTAAACCACATGCAATGCAAATTGAATGTAAATTTGGTTATTTATATGTTTCATATGAGTCACATACTTCCGAATGAAACAAAATTATATACAGCAAATAAAGAATTACCTTTTATATCAACAATTCATTTAAAATTAAATAAATATCTTTATAAAATCGATGTTTTATTTGGAAGTAAAAATCTTTGTTGTTCATTAGATAGACAATTTACCTTTTTGAGTATATATTATCAATATCAACAGATATGTCAATAATTGATGCAAATAAAGATGAAATTATTTGTTATCTTAATTTAGATTATTTACTAAGTGGACTTGTGATTTCACCAATAAATTCATCGATTCTTTATGTTCGACATATGAATATTGCTTATGAAAATAATTCTTATTCAATTGACGAAGGATTCTTCAAAGAAATTAATTTTGAAACACAACATATAGAAAAAAAAATTCAAATTAGAAAAAATCCTACAAAGGAGTGGGCAGGGTAAGGATGAGTGTTATTTTCTCACTCACACTCTCATTCTGGCCCTCGGCAGGACTAAAGACTCCTCTGACCGAACTAAAGATTTTCAAGAGAACAGTTTCCTATATCGATAATGATATGAAAAAAAGCAATAGCTTGATATTTTAAATTTTTTAGTTTTTTACAAGTTGTCTAAGGATCCTATGAAAGACTAGTTTTCAAAAAGCCTTTCAAAAAAATCTCCATTTGCATAAAGGTGCTCCATAGGATCCTGTTTTTATACGTGAAAATCTCAGCTCTCCAGCTTTCATTACTCAAAAGTTATTCAGAAAATACCCATATACTATTCTTTTTTATTCAGATGGACAATAGTTATCGATTGCATAGAGAAAAATGAGGGCAGCATAAATTCATATTGAACCATATTGGGAAACACGAAATATACCGAAAGAATTCTCTAGTAATACTTCGCACTCGACCATTTATGAAGTAACTATATGTAGTCATCGTACGGTAGCGCCCTCTATTTTTCAGCGATTCATTTTTTATGCAAAACAAAAAATATAGTTTTACAAAGAAAATTTTTTTCTATCTATTCATATGAAATTGATTTCTAATTTCTTCAAAAAAGAAGACGACCAATCATAAATAATGTATTCTCATTTTATTTATTTGCTTGTACTCTGTCAGTTGAGAATCTATAACATTTTGAAACTTTTTTTGATATAAAAATGCTTTCAACAACAATCCGTTTATTAATGCGTAGTGGAACATTAATTCGACCAATAATAACAACAGTTCGTCCATTATCAATAAAACCAACTCTTATTAATTTTAATGAAAAACGTAAAACATTAATAAATGAAATTCCACGTCGTTGGTCCCATGTTCATTATACATATCCAATGATTGAAAGTCGTGTTATGCTTTTATTACGTTTATTTGATAAAATTGATCCAAATTCATTAAAATTAGATTCAAAATTTGTACAAGATCTTGGTCTTGATTCGTTAGATATTGTTGAAATAACAGCTGCATTAGAAGATGAATTTTGGACTGAAATTGCTGATGTTGATTCTGATCATTTTCTTACACCAAGACATATAATTCAATATTTATGTGACAAATATGATATTTATGAACATATTGAACCAGTATCAGCTGGAAAAGAATATTTAGAAGAAGCTAAAGCAGCTGCTGATAGAGCTCACCATCATTAAATTAACATTTTTTTCTTTTCTCCCGTAGATTTTGTTAATAAACTTTGCCTCGTTTTTTTTAAATAAGAAAAAAATTTTATTGAAGAAAAAATTCATTTCTCAAGTTTCTTTAGTCATCCAAATAAATTTGAGTAAAAAAAAGTCGAAGATTATATATTATTTTAAATATTAATATAATTATTGATTTCTTTTCCTTTAGAAATTTTTTTTTGAAACGAACAAATTACTTTTAAAATCTGATATTTATTATTAATAAAAATTTTACAATGAAAATTCTTCATCTTCTCATCAATCAATTTACATTGATATAATTAACAAATAATCCGACTAAAATAATTTGAAAAGTTAGGTATTATGTAAATTATGAAGATAAAAAAAGGATAGGAAAACAAGAAAACTGAATGAAAACTATATGTCACAAATAGTAATGAATATATTTATTATATTTAAGTGTTAAAAAGTATTTATGCAATAATAGAAAAACCAAACATAGTACTTTGTCTTAGAAATTTCTCGGTCATGATTATGTTATCTTTTATTTTAAAACATTTCTAACTTCAAGAAAGATTATAATTCAATTCGACCTATTGTAATATATCTCTCTTATTAATATAATCGGACTTAAAATAAGTAAAGACTAAGATAATATGTAATAATATATATGTGGTAATAGAACTTTTCGTGATTAACAAGATACAGAAAACTAACCAAAATTCAGCTATGATTGATTTTCGTGTGTCACTATTATTTACATATTTTAATAAGATCTATTTTCTATAGAGTAATCAATTACAGAAACTTCTGAAAAAAGAACTACTAAAAATCATTTTGCAGTCTATCATGACACTACCAACGGAAAAGATATGTATGTAAACATATGAATGTTTAAACAAAGATAAATAATATTATAAATTGACATATCGATTTGAATATATCATTAAAATAATTTAAAAACATAATTAATTATAACTTTCAATTTTTATTTCTATTTAATGAATTTTACAATGATTTTTTTAATGTAAAATAAACTATTAACAATCAATATAAATATCAAAGATAAAATATATTTTTTATTTCATTTAATAAGATAAAACTGATAAGAGAAGTCTATTATAATGGTAAATTTTAATTTTTATGTAAATATTATCAAATCAAATATATAATCGATAAATTAGTTTTGATTTAAAAGATAAAAATATGTTATTGCAAAGAAATGAATAGAATTGATATAGATGTCAGTTATATACAATCATAGAATAAATATAAAAAGAAGTGTTTTCTAATAAGTTAATAATAAATATCCATATGATCTGATCAAAGTTTGTTGAAAAATATATGATAAAATAAAAAAAGATTTGTTGTAAAGATAACCAATAATAAATTGATTATTAGAAAGTAACGCAATTGTTGTATTGTTTGAATACAAAAAATTGGTAGAAATTATTGGATATGGTTGGTTCACTTTTATTTCGTCGTTTTGCTCTACATAAACAATTCACTATTAATCATATTTATCGAAGAATGGTTTCAAATCAATCTTCAAAATATTTAATTTCAAATTCAGCTTATAAACCATTTCTTAATGAATTAGGTTTAGAAGAAGAAAACTTAGGTGTTTTTGATGGAAAATGGTTTGGAAATGGCGAAGTTTGTTTCAAATTTTTATTTTTATTTTTAAATAAACATAAAAATTTATTTTCTAGTTAATTGATTCAATAAATCCATCAACAAATGAACCAATAGCTCGTATTCGTCAAGGTACAGTTGAAGATTATCATCGTGCTGTCGAATCATCAACAAAAGCTTATCAAATGTGGTCAAATATTCCAGCACCAAAACGTGGAGATATTGTTCGACAAATTGGTGATGAATTAAGAAAAAATCTTCAACCACTCGGAAAATTAGTTTGTTTTATTTAAACAATTAATAGACACAAAATCAAATAAAATTTATCTATTTAAAAATAGATTTCAATGGAAATGGGAAAAATTCTTCCTGAAGGTGTTGGTGAAGTTCAAGAATTTGTTGATATATGTGATTATGCTGTTGGTCTATCAAGAATGTTTGAAGGAAAAGTTTTACCTTCAGAACGTAAGTTAATATATAAATAAGAAATAAATAAATCTAAAAAACAAAATAGGACCTGGTCATATGTTAATGGAACAATGGAATCCATTAGGAATAATTGGAATAATATCAGCATTTAATTTTCCCTGTGCCGTGTTTGGATGGAATCAAGCTATTGCTCTTGTATGTGGAAATGTAACACTTTGGTAAAAATATTTTAGAAGGAAATAAATTTGTTTTAATATTTTAAAACTAAAAAATATTTAGGAAAGGTGCTCCAACAACTCCTTTAACAAGTATTGCAACAACAAAAATAGTAGAACGTGTATTAACACGTAATTCATTACCCGGTGGTTTATCATCAATGATATGTGGTGGAACTGATATTGGAAAATCAATGTGTGAAGATAAAAGAATTCCACTTGTATCATTTACTGGTTCATGTCAAGTTGGAAAACAAGTTGCTCAAACAGTTCAATCACGTTTTGGCAAAACAATTCTTGAATTAGGTGGAAATAATTGTATTGTTGTTATGGATGATGCTGATCTTACACTTGCTATTCCTGCTATCTTTTTTGCTGCTGTTGGAACTGCTGGACAAAGATGTACAAGTGCAAGACGTCTTGTAAATTTGGATTTTTATTATAAAATAATAATGTTTCTTTTTTTTTTCTTTTTTATTTAATTAGATAATTCAAGAAGGAATATATGATGAAGTTTTAACAGGTCTTCGTCGTGCATATGAACAAATTGAATCTCGTATAGGTGAACCATTTGAAGAAAATGTTCTTTATGGACCATTACATACAAAACAATCCGTTGAATTATATCAAAAAGCATTAGAACAAGTTAAAAAAAATGGTGGAAATATTTTTTACGGAGGAAAACTTTATACTGAAAGAAAAGGAAATTATGTTCAACCAACAATTGTTACTGATCTTAAACATAATTCTCCAATTGTTCATCAAGAAACATTCGCACCTATTCTTTATGTTCTTAAATGCAAAGTAATTTGATTTGTTTATTCAACAATAAAATTTTATGTTTATTTTTTTTGTTATATTAAAGACATTTGAAGAAGCTGTTCAATGGAATAATGAAGTTGATCAAGGTTTATCAAGTTCAATTTTTACTACAAATCCTGAATATTTATTTAAATGGATTGGTCCTAATGGCTCAGATTGTGGAATTGTACATTTATTATATATATATTTTTGTTTTTATATTATTTGTTTATTTTATTTTTCTTTCAAGGTTAATGTCAACATACCAACAAGTGGTGCAGAAATTGGTGGAGCTTTTGGCGGTGAAAAACATACAGGTGGTGGAAGAGAATCAGGTTCGGATTCATGGAAACAATATATGAGACGATCAACCTGGTTTGTTTTATTTAGTTTATTTAATAATACAAATTTATTTTATTTTAGTACAATCAATTATTCAAAACAACTTCCACTTGCTCAAGGAATTAAATTTGCGTAAAACGAAATCTCATTATATTTATCACAAATCATTTTTATTTTTTGTTTTTTTGATAAAAAATAAAAGTTTATATCCGGTTGATTTTAATAAAAAGAAACAGTAAATTTTTAGATGTTCAGTATTTTTTAAAACAACGAAAAATAAAA